AAGCTCGGGATCGGGATTTACTAAAAAAAATTTTAAAAACTTATAAATTTTTATTTTCTTCACAAACGACTCAATATAATTCTAAAATTTCCACTGCGGTGCTGAAATATTGAGTTAAAGTCTCATAGACGCATGATTTACTTTCCGGTTCAGGGTATTAAGGGGGGATAAGGTAATGGGGGGGGGGGGGAGGATAAATGGGATTGGGCTTTTGATTTTTAAAAAATTTGCACCTTTTGAAAAGTTTGGCACCTTGGCCTTCCAAATTTTGAAAAATATAATAATATATAAGGTAATGGGGGGGGGAGGATAAATGGGATTGGGCTGTTGATTTTTAAAAAATTTGCACCTTTTGAAAAGTTTGGCACCTTGGCCTTCCAAATTTTGAAAAATATAATAATATATAAGGTAATGGGGGGGGGGGGGAGGATAAATGGGATTGGGCTGTTGATTTTTAAAAAATTTGCACCTTTTGAAAAGTTTGGCATCTTGGCCTTCCAAATTTTGAAAAATATAATAATATATAAGGTAATGGGGGGGGGGGAGGATAAATGGGATTGGGCTTTTGATTTTTAAAAAATTTGCACCTTTTGAAAAGTTTGGCACCTTGGCCTTCCAAATTTTGAAAAATTTTGAAGGCCAAGGTGCCAGATTTCCATCCCGGCTCGGGATTAAAAATGGCCGGGATCGGGATCGGGATATATATTTCGGGACCGGGATCAGAAAAATCGGGATCGGGATTTGAAAAACCCGGGATAATCCCGCCCGATCCCGACCGGGATCCCGATCCCGGCCAACTCTAATTCAAACCACTGCGTATAATTGAGAAAAAACTTATAACTAAAAGGGAATCATTAATTAGGTTAACATTTAATTACAAAATTAATATAACTTAAAAGGTGATAATGATAGAGGCCGTTTTTTTGTAAACGTCTGCTAATTTCGGTTCAAAATTTTAGATATAACATCTTAACAAAATAAAAGGGCTTATAACAAAGTTTATTTATAATTGAATTGAATTATTAATCAAAATTGAAATTATAATTAAAATAGACACTATCTGCTAAATAAAAGTTAATTTAATAATCAGATAATATGCTTATAAAAAAATTATATTTCCGCCTAAAATATATATTTTATTATTTAAAATCTAAAAATTTCAAATTTAAATAATCAAGTTAAGATAAACAAAAAAAATTCTAAAGAAAATTTAAAAATAAATAAAATAAAGGAAAAATGAGCCGACTTTCAAACTTTCAATAAAAACTGAAGAAAACACACTTGAAAAACTTTTTAGTGTATTTGCCATATTGCACTCATAAAAACTTTGTGAAAAAAATTTTTTTTGGGAAACAACTGCTTCTTCCAATAATTTTACTCTTTTCTTCTTTAAGTTGATCCCAATTGACATTTATTTGTTTTGTGAAAGAAAAGACTAAAAATAAAAAAATGGGGGTAACGAAACGAAATCTAAGGATAAACTAAGGAAAAAATACTAGCTTGGGAGATCGCTCAAATCAAGATACGAGAGACTAGAGATCAATTGATCTTAACAAATTATAGCAAATTAATATAGAAAATGTCTTGAAAATTAAGACAAAAATTGTATCTTGAAATTAGAAAAGAACGTCTAGAAACGCCAGTTAGATAATGATTTGGTGATAAAGTTTGATTATCTTAAGAGAATTCCGAATCCTTCAACACTAGACAGCTCTAACAAAATTTCGTAGGGTATTCGATCTCGATTTTACACAGATTAAATAATTCAGATTGTTTCTGGACAGAATTTCTGGGTATAAGTTTAGATTCTGGGTAGAAAGAGTTGCCTAAATTAGGAAGATTTGCCAAATCTCATCGAATTTTTCAGTCCCAAAGATGTATGCAAAATCGAGAGTTGTCTGTATAATAGCACTAGTATTTCGAATCTGCTGAACTAGGTTTATTGCAACAAAAATAACAGTTTTATTAAGATAATATTTAAAAATAGAAAATATACTTTTTTTATTTGTTTATTTAAAATAATTTTCCATTTTTAAAATAAATATTTGCTTTTCAAAATTTTTTTTGGAAATAAAGTACATCAAGTCTGGCGAATTTTAAGCAAAAACAAATTAAAAAAAATAAAAATAAATTTTTAAAATAATTTTGGAAAATAGTGAAAATTAAATTAAATCAACAAAGAATTAAGGAAATTTAGGCCCAAAAAATTTTTCTTTGATTAACGTATCTAGGAAACTAGAGTAAGTCGAGTACCGAGTAATTGGGAAAAAACCGAGCTCGAGTAATCCGAGTTTGAAAAACCCGAGTTCGAGCTCGAGCTCAACTTTTTAGGTCGAGTTCGAGTAGTCGAGTAATCGAGTAATTTTTATAAAACAGTATTTTAAAATAATTTTACCAAAAACAATATTTTTACTAATTATCAGTGCTGGGTATTGCGTATTTGTTGACATTAATGCGTTAGATCATCATCCAAGTCCCAGTTATTTTCGTTAATCCGTCTATATCCCTCTTAATCCGCCGAAATTCCATGATATGCAGACGATCAATTTTGACTCAGGGCTCCGTTTTGAAAATCAATGGATAATATTATTTCGGGGATTCGTATAGATTAGGGGGATATCGAGTGATAAGAGGAATGAGATGGATATCAAGGGATTAAGCGAGATTTGGGCAGATTATAGTGATATTTGGGTGTATTAGGAGCAAAATCTGAGAAATTCGGAAGACTAATTGGGATATCGTTGGATTAGTTATATTGTCGAAAGGTGATCATAAGATTCTTTGCTCTATTCCTCTCTTTTCGCGCCGCTGGCTTAAATTTTAAGAATTTCTGAAGGTCCACCTAACTCCATTCAAATAAACTCCATTCAAAACTACCTAACTCCATTCAAATCCTTCGATATAGGTATACATAAGCCTTCCTTTTCAGCGCCGCAGGCGAAAATTTTTAGAAATTTGGAAGATCCTTAAGCTAAAAATCTTCCTTTTTTCGTCGCAGGTAAGCGCATAAAAATACTCGGTTTTAACCGAGTCTGTCGAGTAGGAAGTTTCCGAGCTCGAGTAATCCGAGTATTATTATCCCGAGTTCCGAGTCGAGTAATTACGCAAAAAACCCGAGCGGTCGAGTCGAGTAACTCGAACTCGCTCGAACTCGACTTACTCTATAGGAAACTACACAACATTTTTCTGAATTAACGTATCAACCACCCAACATTTTTACGTATCTAGGAAGCCACCCCAAATTTTTTCTCATACATTTCTGGATTGTGTCGAGACATATAAATATAAATAAAAAAATCATGTTTTTTATGAAAATATAAATTACCGTATTTACTGTATTATAGCCCCCCTCCGAATTAGAGCCCCCCTCCTTAATAAAGCCCCCGTTTCGAGGATGGTTGAAAAATAGAGCCCCCCGTCTGTATTAGAGCCCCCCCTTTAACAGAGCCCCCCTATTTGTCAGATGTTAAATAGGTAATTTACAACCTAGTCTGTTATTGCGGATTGCATTTGTGGATTTTAACATTAAAATTGCAGTCTAAAATTAAAATTGAGTTTCTAAAAATATAAATCATATATCTGGGGATTTAGGGGATATACCGTGGTATCATATATCGAAGGATGAGGAGAGGATATCGAAGGTTTAAGGTGGATATCGGTAGATAGCGTATTATAAAAATGGAGTAGAATAACCTGATAAATTCACCAGGTTCTCTTACTCGCGTAGAACCCAGAGCTGAGGGTTAACCCAAATACAAAGAAATCGACCCAGAACTCGATGATTACTTGCAGCTGCGGTAATCTGGGGTTAATGAGTACCCGCAGCTGCGGTAATTTTAAGTCCTCTAACAAATTATATTATCAAGATAACCGTTTGGGGAAACAGGCTGATTTGGGGTCGAAAATTAAAATATGCAAATGTCTTTTTACATATAAGAATGCCCCAATTCGACAATATCACCCTAGATTCTTATTAATTCCATGTTATATCAATTACTCTACTTAAATAACTTCATACCGCTCTTAATTAATACCCTAATCCACTTATATGCCTCAATTCTTACTCCCCAGATCCACTTATATGCCTCAATTCTCACAAATTCCCATATATACTTCTTTCTTAAACCCTGAATTTGTAGATCTGGAAAACTATTGCTTGCAATATTAATTTTTCCTATTTTTTCTTTCTGTGCTAAAATTTTTATTTTAAAAGTTAGGTTGTAAATAAATTTGAAAAACCTGTTGCTTAATTTAAAAAAATAGTTGAAAAATAGAGCCCCCCGTCTGAATTAGAGCCCCCCTCTTTAATATAGCCCCCCTTTTCGGGATAGTTGAAAAATAGAGCCCCATGGGGCTCTAATACAGTAAATACGGTATCTACCAGGGACAGGATGGATTACACGAAACCCGATACCCGACCCGGCTTTTTTCTAAACCCATCCCATCCCTTGTACCTACCTCCAAGTAAAATGCACTTTCTAAAAATAAAAAAATTTAGAAAAATTAAAAGAAATTAAGCAGATGTGTAAATTTATTTTTGAAAATATTTTTGAATTAATTCCGGAAATATTACCCTTTTAAAAAAGAAAAAAGGAAACCACACACAACAATTCTGGACTATTTAAATGAATAAAATTTAATTAAAAATTATTAAATATCCACAATTTTAATAACCTAAATATTTAATTAATTAAAAATAATATTAAAACTAAAAATGTATTTGGTAGTAATTATTTCTTTTCTATTTTTTATTGCGATTAACGGTGAGTATTAAGATAAACTCCTCCTTTTCGTTATATATATTCGTTATATATATAATCTGTCATGATATTCAAAAATTTTCATCTCGGAAGTTGGCCCGAAATTTTAAAGATTCTCCTCACTGTCTAGGAAATAATAAAAAATGAAAACAGGCTATAGTTGGATAATTGAGTGTTTAACCTCATGATCAACTTTCATGTCCTTCAAATCTCTTGTTATTTTCGGGTAGTGCAGATTTATTGAAGAACCTATTAAATGCCTCAAGGCTTTTAACATTAAAATCCGTCAAATCGCCATATTCAAAAAATTTTTAGGGGTTTCTTCTTTTACAATAGCCGAGCGCAATAGCATTACAAAACTAATAAACAATCAACGATCTGCACTGGCAAATGGGGAAATGTCAGAATTACCGACAGCTTCAGATATGAATACATTAACCTATTCAACATTATATGAAGGAATGGCACAATCGCTAGCTAGAGATTGTTCTATGAATAATATGGGTGGAGGAGTTAGTCATTATTCAACAGACAAAATAATACAAACTAATGGTTATTTAATTATTTTTTGAAAGTTTTGAAGGCGTAAAGATAGGATCGAGATGAGATCTCTTATAAAAGTCTGTCATGAAAATTGAGATTTTTCGAGATATCAAGCCATCTAACTAGGAAAATTATGAGCCATCTGACTAGAAAAGGATATTAGACCAATTACAGTTTCAAATCAACCACCCATCGTCCTCTTTCTGGGGATGTCGAAGACATCTACCTAATTAGAAACGGATATTAGTCCAATTACAAGTTCAATTCAATCACCAATCGTCCTATTTCTAGGGGTGGCATTGACTGTAAAGTCGAAGAAGCCCTCCCCCACTTCTCTTCATACCTTAGATGAATTCGGTCTGGGATCCCCACAGAATGAATGATAATTGAGTAGAAATTTTCTCAATTAATTTTTAAATATCCTAGATGCTCTATTCCAAGAAGCAGTAGATGCTTGGGCATCGGAAAGCAAGGATGTAGACAGTAGTAGCCTTAAACCTAATGAAAATGCCAAAAATTTTGCACAAGCATTTTATTCAAAAAATACACAATTTGGATGTGGAAAGGCTCCATGTTCCGGAAAAACATTTTTAGTTTGTCTGTTTACCCCCTAGTAAGTTTCTAGTGTATCAAATAAAAAATTCCAAAATAATTTTTCTTAGTGGCCCAGCACAAACAATGAATGGCCCATTATATAAGCAAGGCGAAATTTGTGGAAATTGTGCCAATAATAATTGTGATAAAGGAAGTGGTTTATGCATTCCTAAAGTCAATAAGCTTATTATAGATTAAAAGAATTTGTAGTTGAGGATTTTAAATTAAAATGAGAAAATAAATATAATTGTATTGTAATCAAATAAAATATTAGATAAAATTATTTCTATATTTTGTAAAATTTTGGAAATAATAAAATCTTGTGGTATTCAGTTATATCGGCTACTTTTAGCCGTAAATTCAAAATATTTTATCAAAAAAGCTCCTTATTGAAGAACAAATAAGAACCGAATTCGTCAAGACATACACTTGATATTAGTTCAACTTCTTATACTTTTAATTTTTAAATTTAACCTTCAAACTAGAGATGAAAAATAAATAGCTAGAACCTATCTTTGGTTAAATAATTTAATTTGCAGTCCATTATTTTAACGGTTTCGTGGTTTCGATTCTGGGGTTCCAAGATCCTAAGTGTTAAACGGTCCTGGAACCTAGAAAACCTTTGTTAAACGGTCCCGGAACCTAGAAAGAATATATATCTATCTATATTTTAACCTAAATCATAAGCCAATACATAGGGATTGGACTGAAACGGGATCTACTTGAAATATTTGCGGGGGCTATTCAAGATCTCAATCTCTAATCTAAATCTTTTCTCACCTTCATTATTTAAATAATCTAGAAATTATATTTTTAATTTTATTAATAAAAAATTAGTGTTTTTAAGGTCAAGCAGCTGCTTTAATTATTCATACAAATAAAGAACAAGTGGCATTTCCTAAGGTTGAAATTTATAAAGTTCTTACTAAGCAAAATATCAAATATTTTTGGTTATTAAATGTTTTTCAAAAAAGTTTTTAAAAATTATTTGACATTATAACTAAATGAGTAAATAACGGGAAATAATTTTTTTGAATATAAAAACACCCAAAAATTAGCTTATCAACATCAATTCAAATAATTTAAAATTTTAAAAAAGAATTAAAAGACTAACTGATCAACATGCAAAAGGTTTGTTTAGATAGATATGTATTTTTAAAAAATTGACGAGAACCGAGGTACTTTTACGTTACAAATTTGATCGGCTATAACTTTTTTGCGCTTGATCCAAACAAATGAATTTTATATCATTCGAAAACCCTCGATAAGCTGTGCTTTTTTCTAATAGGATACATCAATGATATTTCTTAAAAATTTATAACCCGATAAGTTATTTGGTGTTTTTCACATTTATCGGGATATAACTCTAAGATCAGATCTGATCCATAAAGTTGAAAAAACCAAAACCGAAAATTAGAAATTGTTTATTGATGTCAAAGTGATATTTTTAACCTCTTGAAAATTAAGACAATATTATCTGTACCGGAGTTTAAACTAAATATTATTTCCAGCTTCTTCCCGTTCTTCTTGTCTTCCTTTTGGCTGCAGAAATTTTTGTGGTCTCTGCTCGCTTCTCAAAAACCAAGAAACCAAAGGACGAAACAACAACTATTGCTGCTGAACCAGAAGATATAGAAAACGACCCAGCACCAAAAAAGTGTGGCGGTTGTAAAAAGAAATGTAAATGTGGATATGACGTGGGGGAGATTTTTAATTATTTCTTTAAAAATTTTTTTAATTATTAGGATTGTAATAAATGCTATTGCAAGGAAAAATGCTGGGCTTAAAAGAATGTAGAAATCAAAGAAAGGAAAATAAAAAGAGACAAATAAAATTTAATGGATAATTAAATTTGTTAAAAATAAATATTAAATAAAATAAATATTCTTTAAAATTGAGTAATTTTTCTCAGCTCGACGAGCTCTTTAGGATAAACATTTAAATAATTTATCCACAAAAACAAAAGAATTTTTAAAAATTATTGACAGCCCCAAAGTAAATGGTGTACGGAATAAATGGTGTACAAAGTAAATGGTGTACAGAAGAGAGAGAGAACCAGCATCTTCAGGCTGCTGGTTCTACTTATTACCCGAGTAACGAACCACAGCTGCCCTTACCCTCATTTATGAATTCTCGCATTATGAACTCATCCGGAAAAACTCGAATAATTCCCCTCCCTTGAATAATTCCCCATGCCACGGATGGGTTGAAAAAATAATTCCCCAGGAAAATTAATCGAGTATATACGGTATACCTTGATATCCGCCTTAGAAAAATGATACATTTTAAATATGAAGTTATTTTATGGTTATTTTATTGTCTATATTTAATTGATAGGGAAAAAGTACTTTATTTTACTCTTGTATTCTCGCATTATGAAATTTTAAGATTAAGAAAGGTCTTATTTATGTTAGTGCAATTGTCGATTTTTTTGAAAAAAATTAAAGGAAATTTAAATTTTGCCGCCTTATTTTTATATTTGCACTTTTAGTCATCTGCTTTCTCAGTTAGCTTATTTAATGTTGACCGTCTTTAATTTTTAATATTAAAAATCCATGAAGAGTAATATAAATCTCTCCGTTTTATGAAGTAAATAAACATAAAATAAAGCAGAGCTGGGCTATAGCTATTTCTCTCCCTTAAGCTAGTGCAAAAGTTTATTCGGCGGCTGGGAACGATCCAGCATCTTCATGACTGATGTTTTATACAGATCTGTGCATGGATACGGATACAAATAATTCATGATGCCTGCGGATATCCGCCTGTATCCGCTGTAAATATCCGGATACGGATACCAAAATCCATGTCCATGACCAGGACTGATGTTTTATCCATTACACCACGCCGCCTACTGTACAGCCTTAGGTCTTTAAAATAATATAATAATAAGTGCCCAGATCTTTAGGTCCCGAATATATTTTATTAATTTGTATATTCATTCCAGCTTTTTTGTCTATAATGTTAATTATATTATTATTTATTATTAAAATTTCAGATGATTAAATTTATCAATATTTCTCTAGTAGCCTTGGCTTTTCTATTAAATATTCATTGTAACGGAGAAAAGGTTGAAGTAAAAATAAAAGATGATTGGAAAGAAAAAAGAGAATTTATTTATTTAAAAAATGTTAGATTAAATGATCGTTTTGTTCTAAAAAGAATTGAAAATTTTCACAAAAGATATGGCAGATCTTGTTATAATATAGATAAATTTATACGTCCTATCGAATTAAATTTACAAAAAAATACTTTTAACGTTAAAACAAGTGATGGATTAGAATATACTATGCTAGAATTAAAAATGAGAGTTTTGATTGAAATTGCCAATAAGGAAAGTATTCAAAAAATTTTGCCTGGATTCGAAAAACGGGTATTTTATATTTTAATTATTCGGATATCGGGCAAGAACTTGATTAATTTTTTCTCATTTTTTAATTTCCTCAGAAAAAATTAAAAAGAAGGGCTTTTTCAATATTTTAGAAGTATGTCAGTAGGTAATATCCCACTTAGGTAATATCCCACCGATATCCCACTTAATCCCGTCAAATCCTTTGATACTCTGATATCGCTTCAAATTCTCCACTATTCAGGATGTAAATATTGAAGTATGACCTCAAATTTTTGATAAATTCCAATTTAAAATAAGGAAATTTCAGAAAAAAGCTAAATTTTAAGAATTTTTCAAATTTTGAAAAAACCGGGCCCGGGTGTAAAAAAACCGGGTTTTCGGGGTTTAAACCCGGAAAACCCGGCCCGGGTCGGATTGGAAGAAAAAGGACTGGATGCCGGGCCCGGCAAATTGAAAAGTTCGAACTCTAGTATTTATTAACTCGAAGTATTGCCCTTATTTACTTTGAAATTTAATATTGTTCATAAATTTAAGGTACTCCGACATAATAATTATTTTATTGATAAGGATAATCATTATGAAACTTCTATATTAGATGAAAATTTTGAAAAATTAAAAATAAATAAAATTGAATTATTAAAAGAAAATATTGAAAGTTACAAAAATAAACTTTTATCAAATTATTGGACGGAAATTAATTTAATTGGATATAAAATTGAATTGCTAGAAAAACAAAAAGTTGAATACCCGAGGGAATTAAAAAGCGGAATTAAATATATTGGCAATAAAATAAGTAAATCTTGGACATTTTCCTTCATATTAAAGGAACATACATACTTATAATATTTTAAATAGGGTTGCCAAAATGGACCGGCTCGAACCGAAAGATCGAGTCGGGCCTAAATGTCTGGCCTGAAAAAGACTCCTATAGACCAGACTCGATAAAGTGCCCGAAATTGACTCGTACAGGCTCGAATACAGGCCAGAAACAAGCACAAAAATTGCCTCGACCCTAATTTTAAATATTATAGGTGAAATTAATGAAAGAAATGGACCATATTGTTTTAATTGTGGAATTAAACTAAAAAGATGGTATAAATACCTCAATGGAAAATATTTGTGCAATACGTGTGGCTTTCATCTAACGAGAAAGGGAAAGTTAAGACCGAAAGAAATGTGGTCTAGAATCAACAAGGTTTATCGACTGTAGAAAAAAAATTTAAATTATAAAACTATTAAATTGACCTAGACAAACCCCACATTTTATCTTCCTCTAAAAAACTGCCTATATTTTCTAAATCTTTTTGTGTCCGCACTTGCAGAAAAAACATAAATGAAAATTAATAACCCAGCATCGGTTTTGATGGTGGCACAGTCGGTTGTGCTTAGGCTGATCTTATTCCATGATGGTTTTATTTCATCTCCCATCCAATGAATTTTTCTACGGCATGAACTTTATAAATCTTTTTAATCATTAAAATATTACTTAAATGTTCTTGATATAAGCGATAACTTTTTAATATTCAGAAGGATCGTCAATGTTATATTTGCGAAGCTACAAAAACAACAGCTTGGCACCAACATCTTGAACACGGGCAGTACCTATATTATTGTCAATCATGTTACAATCGGAAATATTACATAAATAAGTTCAAAAATAAAAGAAGCAAGAAAAGGAATTGAATAATTATTAATTCTGAGTTATACTGAAATTTTTAAAGAAGGCAAAATGGATTTGCAAAAAGCATGAAAAAAGTATAAAATTAAATAACATTTTATATTTTTACATTTAATTATGTGATATGAATTACCTTTAATCTTTTCTATTGTCCCGTCGATTTTCAATTTTATATCGGCTGATTTGAATATATATATCTGGGGATAGGTAGGAATATCAGGAGATATGGGAGGATTAGGGAACGTGAGGGGGATTTTTAGGAATATCTGAAGGGATATCCATCAAGTGTAGAGATCGGAATTTTGTTCCGTACCGTATTCCGTACCGTAATACCGAAAAATACCGATACCGAAAAATACCGATGAAATTCAAAATGTTGCCGTACCGTATTCCGTACCGTATTACCGACTGTAATACCGATAAATACCGAGAAATACCGACAAATACCGATATTTTTCATCGGTACCGTATTCCGTACCGTATTTTTTTAAAAAATTTTTCCGTACCGTATTCCGTACCGTACTACCGATACGGAATACCGATAAATACCGAAAAATACGGCCGTAGTACGGTACGGTCCGATCTCTAATCAAGTGTATCAAATGATATGGATGGCTTAAGAGAGATATTGATAGATCTGTTATGATTAAGAGGGATATTAAGGATTTTTAGGGGGGGGGGCTGCTCATTAAAGCTTATGAATTTGTTAGGCTAAGCTATTAAAAAGGTCGAAAGTTGATTCAATTTGGCAACTAATATATTTGTATAACTCTTATTGATACAAAGATCCTAGAAGTATAATAACAGTACCTTGATAAATATAATAATTTTATAGAATTTTAGAAAATAAATAATAGAATATTAAAGCAAAGAAAGCAAAGACTATAAAAATCACAAAATTAAAATAAGACACAAAAAAATAAAATTAAGGGCATTTAACATCTTTTAGTTTTGTATAAATATTTTGAAACCCTTCCAAATTACCAGCACCATATAAAGCTGTTACATAAGGAATTCCATCCTCACATTTTTCTTCTTTGTTCAACTAGAATTTGAAAGCAAATTTTTAATTTTAAAAATTCAGGATTTATTTTTAAATTAGAATCTTTAAAGGAGGGATGATTGTGATCCTAGACAGGGTCTTTGGAGATAGGGAAAAAGGCCGAAATAATTTTTACTATTATCCATCACATTTTAAAATTAATTTATAATTTACCCCATTCCCCACTCGAAACATTTCTTTATGATCAGCTCTTGTCACGTTTGCTAAATCAGCCAAAATTCCAGTAAATAAGACATCGTCCATATTAAAGCCAATTACTTTATTTATGTGTGGCATTGTTGCTGTTATTGCTTGACTGGAATTAAAATGGATAACTATAATAATTTAATTTGTTATTAGTGCTGTCAGTACACGTTTTTGAAAAATTTTATTTTATTATGTATTAGGTTCTCTTACATTGGGAAGCATAGGTTAAGCAGCTTTACTCACCCACTGGTTTGCCAAAATTAAAAAAATTGAGGGCCAACTTTAATATGCGTACTTTTATGGACTACTTGTTCCCAGGAAAAATTTTCTGCTTGAAGTGGAGGAAGGGTGGGGGTAATTCAAAAAAACCCAAAAAATTTTTCAATAAAATTTCCTTTACTAACCTCGAAGCAACATAAGAAGCTCCTTGCATATAAGGCGGATAACTATTGCCCTTATAAACATTTTCTGAGACATACCTTCAAAATATTCATTAAAAAATATTATCTTT